AGCAGTGATTTGTGTTATACCTTAGTTATTGGACTGTTCTTACCTCAACCCCTGAGAGTTACATTCTTTTGATTCTCCTCCCCATCCCTCCGGGGGGGAAAGGGGTGGGGAGGGGAGCTCTAGAAACTGCGTGGCTGACCTGCCAACAGGGCTTAAACCGTGACACTTTTCCACTTTTAGTTCACTTTTTGAATTAGATCATAGCTGAAGCTGGTGTCTAAGCAGGTAGAAGGTACATGCATCACGCAAAAAGACATGCCTTAAGAGATACTACTTCTCAAGCAATTCACTCAGAAGTGAATATGTCTGATATGTCCTGTACTGTCTGAGATCTGTTGATGGGCAGAGTTAGCTGGCACATCACTGGTTCTGCCAAAAACAACTGAAGAGACTGACAAGCGCTCAGAAACATCAGGAGCTTGAAAACTCATGAGATCTTTCTGAAAGCATCTTTTGCTTTAAGAATTGAGATTTGCAATGTTTTCTGATCTTAACTTGGAAACCAGGGCAGAGTTTTAATTGGTAACTGAAAAACACTGCAAGTAAAGGCTTTAAGGAAAAGCATTGATGGCTCTTGAAGACACTGAAAGGCCTGGCAAGTATCTCTTTTCTGCATGACCCAAAGTAACACAAAGACTAATTTCAATCCTTAAGCAGAACAGTAGCTTCAAACTCGCATTAAGAAACAACCAGTGTGATGTTGAAGAGTATTCATAATGTAGAAGTTCCTCTGAATTCCCCACTGTCTGCAAAAGTTTATTTTGAGCCACTGGGTTTCTGAAATCCCACCTCATCAGAGCTTGGAGTCAGAGCTGCAGCTATTTCTGGAATGCAAGAACCACAGACACCTGCAGTACTACTTTTCTGAAGGACTCCCTTCTCTTCAGGCAACACTGCCTTGGGCACTGCACACTCATAATGAGACGACATCTGTCCCAGAGTCACCTCCACAGACCCATCTCCATTTCTTATCCTTTAAGCACCCCAGAACACTGCAGCATCCCCATTCTGAAAACACAAAATCTGCATCTTTAAGCCTCAAAACAATATTAAAATCCTCCCCTCTTCTAAGGTTATACCAACATACAGACAGCGCATTGTGGCATGTATGGGAATTAAGCTCACGTACTTTCAAGCTAGCATCCATGAGACCATTCTTCTCCTGTGTAGGGTCTACAAGTCTTCAGAAGCTGGGCAAAATCAGAATCTCTCTGTTCTTACCAAGAAGGGTTATGGGCCAATAACCCCAGGTTTAGATGCTGCTCCACGGTCAGCATCTGCCTCTGTCCTCTCCTGTAGATTGTGGCTTTGTCTGTCTTTATACAAGTAGCTAAGCAGCAGGAAAGCATGCTAAAGCTCAGTGGAAAGGTAAAAAAAAAAAAAGAGAAACCAACTGATGTGTAATCAGAGACAGAAAAAAAAACAAAACATACAAAAGAGATCCCCCTTATTCTTGCAGCACTCTCTCTTTGTATCTTTTTCACCTAAGCTTTTTCCATTGAAAATGACAGAAGGCAATATGTCACCGAGAGTAGAGATGACAACTGCAAACAGTAGGTGTTTTCACTAGAAATTGCCAACACAAATTTTGATGTCTTTCTTCCATGGAGGCCTTCAGGGAAAAAAAATGATTCCTTAGAGGTTTTTTGAAAAGCTGGAATATTGCAATAAAATATAATGCAGTACAATGCTATATAAAATTTATGGGGTGCCTTTTATGAGAACTTCCCAAGGGGCTTCATATAATAGCTATAAAACAGTAAAACACATCATGGCACAGATTTAATTTTGAAAATGGCAGAATATATATTAATGATTTATCATCATTACTCTTCATTGGAGGTCTGTGAATACTAATAAAATGGTTCTATCTAAAGTTGCTTTAGGTGACAGGCATTTAATGTCTAAATATGGTTCATATTTTTAAAAGTTTAATTAGTTGATTAAAACAATACCAAAACAAAACCAAATATGAACTGTTTCAGCCAGGAAGAGTTTCTGAATTATTAGATACTTTAATCTGTTCCCTCAGATTACTGAAGTCCTTCCCTCCCAAACTTAAAAAGGGACAACTGAGATGAAAGCAGCTGAGAACATTGTGCTCATTGAAATATACACCCTTATACCATCTAACCTGTCAAAATGCCTCTTGAGGAGAGTATGTAAAGAAGGAGACAAAGAACAGTAAGTGGGAAAAGCAGAGGAACATATATGATCAACAGCATTAGAAATGCTGCGGATCCCTTTCACACCTCTCCTCTGGCATTGCTATAACTTACTCCTCCTATGCCCCCATCACCACCTGGACCGCCTTACATATTAGAGGTTGACTCTAGATGTACAGTGCAGACCTTTCCCTGCACTCCATGGGTTAATAGGTAGAGACACCATTTTCTATTGAATCAAAGTTTAAGTCCTCTGAAATGAGAAGTAGCACCAGATCTCTAGCAACATGTTTGAACTGCAACTCTGCAAATGAGTTGTTTGAAGAAAGATAAGCCAAGCATGATGCAACACACAATTAATAGGCTGAATAAGTTATGAACTAACCTCAGGGAATAAAATGTGAAGGAATTGTGTCAGGTTTACAGCACTTTGATATAGAAAAGAGGTCAAAGCTGGGGGGGGGAGGAGAAGAATATCAAAGGCAAAGACCAAAGTGGGAACATCAAGTCAGATGGGGCAGTAACAATTAAATGCATTAGTGATTTTGAAAGCTCAGCAACTGTATTTATCTGCTTCTATACACTTAAGACTAAAGTTACCAACATCCAAGGAACCTAGAAGCATGCAGGAAATTGAAAAACCAAAAAGTATCCTGGGGAGTCTGCTGGGCTACTTCTTTCAGCAATCTATCTGTAAGAGTTTAGGTTGAAGAAATAGAGGTTTTGGTTTGTTCTAAACCCCAAGGTCCTTCATCCCACCCTGGAAATGAAATAGAGGACTGTCCTGGGTTCAGCAGTAGCAGTCATTTTTCCCCTTCTTGGTAGCTGGTGCAGTGCAGTGTTTTGACTTTCAGCTCGGGAACAGAGCTGATAACAAGGATATTTTGGTTTGGCCAAGGACTTTGTGAGCCTCATGCTCTGCCAGGGAGGAGGGGGAGCCGGGAGGAAGCAGAGACAGGACACCTGACCCAAACTGACCAAAGAGGTATTCCATACCACAGCACGTCATGCCCGGGATGTAACTGGGAGTTAGCCGGAAGGGCTGGGAGACTGCAGGGTTGGAGGAGGTATCGGTCGGAGCTTGGTCGGGCTGGGGGGGGCGAGTTATCGGTCGGCTGGTGGTGAGATGATGTATTCTCTTCCCTTGTTATTTCCTTTATCATTATTATTATTGGTGGTAGCAGTAGTGATTTGTGTTATACCTCAGTTACTAAACTGTTCTTATCTCAACCCGTGGGAGTTGCATTCTTTTCGATTCTCCTCTCCGTCCCCCCCGGGAGTAGGGGGAGGAAAAGAAGGGGGGGAGTGAGTGAACGAGCTGCCTGACTGGGTTTAAACCACGACAAGGACCATCACAAGAAAGTGTCCAGGAAACAAAAGCTCTGACTTTGAGGCAGATGTCTAGAGACGAGGAAAGTCATTTGTCATGGACAAAGACCACATTTACATGTGATGCACCCAGAAAACCCCAATCTCACGTTCTTTAATTTGACCTGATATTAGCGTATCTGGGAAGACTGGCCTGCAGAGATACGTTCAGCAGAGCATCTGCCTAAGCTGACGCAGCCTTATCCAACAGAGAAACAAGTGACATTCTCACCAGAACACCCCCAGTACACAGACTGCTGTGGATGAGAACAAATGTATCACAGCAGCTGAGCATACTTATTGGCTTTCAGAAGACCTATAGCCTATCCCTGGTGCATGGGAGGCACAACCGTATGCAGGATGTTTTTTTCTCCTCAGGAGAGTAGTTCACAGTGATCTTCTGACCCCATTCATGCACTTGTGGCTGCCTCTACATTGCCTCAGAAAGGGGACATATGGGCATATGCTTCCACCCTCTGTCCCCAGCCTCCATATAGTAGAAATGCATTTGTTCTTTTGCCTGGAAATCACTGTAACAGTGAAGTGACCGTCTGGGTTCCTCAGCTGTCCCTCCAAACACTCTTTAGAAGAAAGCAAGAGATAAAGCCTAGTCTGGTGCAAAGGCAAATCCGGAGTAGTTCTACAGTATGGCAGACAAACAATCTAGCCAGTCATTCCCTGAACCATCTTAGTATCTGTCCTTATCTCTGGGTGAAGCTGAATAAAATCAAGTCATCCATATTAGTTAAATGAAAACGCTTCTGATCGCAAAGCTTTCTTTGTATTTGCTAACGGGAAGGTAAGTTCAAACCTTGCTGTCACCAAAGTCCTTGTGAATGCCACATGGGATGAGTGTTCTCTGTTGACAAAGGACATACACTGGTCAGGGCTTGAAATACACACATACACATTAACATAGCCTGCAATAGGACTTGTCAGCCAGGATATCACCCACCAGGCTTAATAGCTCTGACTTATCCAAAAAAGCTGTAAATGAATAAAATCTGTATGTTTTAAAAAACGGGTAATCAAAGCCCTGCAGTACTGAAATGATAAGCTCAAAGATACAGCATAGGAGAAAGCTCCTTATTGCTTAATCCTCAGCTCTCAAGCAAGCCAAGCGTAAAATCCTTTAATCAAATCTAATAACCTGGGATAATCTTCAAAATAATGACTCCAAGGAATAAAACATTCCTGCATTCATTAAACCCTGAGTTTTTAAAAGAACACTTTAGCAGCAGTGTTAAAGGAATTCTCACATGTTGCATTATGGATAACTTCCCACAAGTAAGAACAAATATTAAAACAACAATAAGAAAATTGATTAGACATTCTGATTGTACTCAAACCACCTTCCTCAATAGACTGCAGCTATTTTTCAAACAGAAAGAAATAACATGAAAGTGTAACTGTATCAAACACTGAAACACTCTGTCCTGAAAAAAATCATCCCAGGTATCAGAAGTATTCACAACTCACAAGAAAAGATTTATTAGGAGGACAAGTCTTGCTTTTGTCCTTTCTTCCTCAGGTTTTTTAGTTGCCAAACAGTCTTTGGGGCCTTTGGGTTCATACACATTAACAAACACACAGCAGCATTCATTTCTAGGAAATTCTGTCTACAAATATTTTGGAGAACTAACAGTACACAAGGCTGAAATGCATTGCCTCATGGACAGTTTTAGTGCCATTGAACACACCTAACTGTACCTTAACTTGAATGATCTCAGGGTCTGACAAAAGCCATCTAAGACCCCTCTCCAATTGGTAGGTGACAGACGATAGACAACTTAGTCCTAGCTCCATCTTTAGCAATTATATTTTGCCTGCATAAGATGCTTTCAGATTTATTCAATTCTGAAGTATAACAAACATTGAAAACAAACAAACAAAATAACCCCAAACAGTCAGAAGCTTATAAAACATTTCATTTCATATGGTGAACAGTCATACCTGTATGACAAACAAATTACCATGAAGACGTTTATTTTTCTGCTCACTCATCAATTGTGAAGTGAGAATGTAGTATTTACACATTTTACACTGTTAAACAGCTCTCAATCAAAGGCTTACATATGAATTTCACTAGCTGTCTGCATAAAGTGAGCAGTTAGTTATGCCATGTGGTATTATCCCTCTTTTCAGTGACTAGGTGTCTGCAATAAAAGATAGGGCAAGAACAAATTATTACTGTCAGTGATATTCCTATTCTTCCTCATGCTATTCTGTATACAAGCCAGTATGGCATTAGTAAGAAGAAGGGTCACTGCCTCCAAATAGTCATGCAAACAAAAATCTCATACCCACACAGAGCAGAAAATTAGGCTGGAAGAAATCCAAGAGGGCATTAACTAGTCCAGCCATCTTCCTGCCTAAGGCAGGATCCCTACAGACATTCCTGATGAGTATTTGTCAAACCTACTCTTAAACCAGATCTAATGGCAGTGTCTCTGCACCTCAATTTGAGTTTTCCACGCTGCAGGTCAGGTCTCTTCCTGTTTTGAAAATGCATTTACAGAAGATCCATTTTTAATTTAAATAGAGGCAATAAAGGGGAAAAAAAAGTAAAAAATAATGACAAAATAAAATAAAGAAGAGAGGATGTTCTCTTCAGCATTCTTTCTGTGTCTTGAACTAGCCCAATTCCTTCCAGATTTCCTTGTAGGTGGTATTTCTAGCTGTTCTCAGCTAGAGAATAAGGCATCACTTTCTTGAAGGGCAGCACCAAAAAGAGCACAGTTCTCAACATAAAGCTATGTAGAAGCAGAAATTATATCACACTGTAGACTGTGCTCCTGTTCACATGCCCTGTGACACTAACTCATTTGCAAAAGCTTGCTATCATTCACGTGTGTCTAGGTTGCAGTCCTCTACAACCTCTTCACCCATCTATGAATATCCAGATAGTTTTCTTCTCATTCTGTACTCATACACTTGATTGTTCTCACATAAACGTAGTTATTCCCTATTAGTATTCTCACTTTTCAGATCATACCTCCATCCTGTCAAGATTTGAATTATTGTCTGTATCACACTGATAGGGATTCTTACCTTAGTATCTTCTCCATTACACAGGTCACTAACAAGACAGTGGGCACAACCAAGCTCAGAGAAGACCCTTGAAGAACTTCACTGACAATACCCTCCATTTCAGCATGAAATGTTTGTGTGCTATGATGTTGAAAGAATGAATCTGCTACCAGTCATTTCCTCTAGACTATACTTCCCTAGCGTCCATTCACATTCTGCACCTTCATGGTATCTTACTCGTCTCCAAGCACTCTCAGGGAAAAAAAAAACAAACAATAAAACACCACCACGACCACACACCAAAGTGCTTAAGGCTGCTAAATCTGCTTTGGCAAAACACTTCGCATGACTCTTTTGAAAACTCCTGCTGTGTTCTTTTGCCTGCTCTAGGCTGGCATTTCACTTCTTTACCTGATGGCAAGTGAACATCAATACAGAATGCATTCACCAGTTCAAGCTTCTCCAAATCTGTCTATTAAGTGTCAATATTTGGACTTCCTATAACTAATGCGCCTTGCTATTTCATCTCACTCTATGTCTTGACCATTTTGATTAGGTCACTGAGAGCTCTTGCAATGCCTTTATTTTCCTTCTTTATATCCTGACCTACTTTCTACATTCTCTATCCTTTCCTCCTGTCTTTGAAGTCAATGAAAGGCTCATAATTTAGCCAAGTTGATCTCTTACTGAGTTCTTATCTCTCCTCCACAAGGAGAGAGGTTTATTAATATTCTTCTTTAAGGAACTGCCAGCTTTCTTAAATTCCCTATTTCATCGGTCTTGCCTTCCAGGCAACACCTAACAATTTTGTGAGTGTTGAAGTCTTCCTACTTGAAATCCACTGTTACAGTTTTGCGACTTATCTTCCTTCAAGTCCTATGAATCATAAATGTATCATATCATAACCATTCTCTCCTAACCTGGCCTTTGCCTAGACATTGTCAAACAACCTGTTTCTTCCTATTGGTCAGTATCTAATCAAAGTTCACCCTATTCTAGTTATCTAAATCATCTTTACCAAAGTCCATCAGAAGCACATTCGAAGAACTTGCTAAACAGAATATCTCTGAAATACATTTTCTTTGCAACAGATATGTGGATAACCAATAACTTGCATTAAGACTTACAGCTCCTTCTGCTTATTCTTCATCCTGCTTGCATTACAGTGATTGCTATCCAGTCCCTTGACTTTATGAAGAGCAACCCAGCCTGGTTTTTATGTCCAAGTCATCATTGTATATGCTGCTGCTGGGACTGATTAATTCAGTCAAAGATCTTCACTAATCTCCATTTTTACCCATCGCCCTGTCAAACATCATTCTTGGGTGAGGAATACAAAGGCCTCATGGTATGTATCCATGCATTTGCTTCCAAGATACATATTGACACTCCCTGTACCCTGACCCCAGACTGATTTCTTTCTCATCCTTGCCTCTTTCCAGCAGCCTTATAACCATTTTGACCTGCAGTACTGAAATGTTCACCAAACAGAATAAAAGCCCCACAAAGAGGGAATCTGAACAGGTCACTGAAATTGAAAGCTGGATCTGTACACAGCTGACCACAGTAGATTAGTTGATTAGTTGACTTAAACAGTTCAGTTTAAAAAGCATTTCATTGCAGAAGAGAGGATGATCTAGCAGCTGCACAAGGGAAGGACAGACGAGAGGACAACTGAAGAGGGTAAAAAAGATGTTCACAGGAAGAACGGTGCTCAGAGAGTCCCTGGCCCTGGAGATTTTTCAAACTGGAGAGGACAAAACCCTGAAGATGCCAAAACCTGTTCTACTGAAGTCTGTGGCTGTGATCCTGTTTCTTGCCTTGTTCCCTCCTTTCCTAATCCTGACTTTTACCATCATACAGTCAGTGTCATAAAGGTTTCCACCAAACTTCACATCCCCATTTCTTTGCTTGTAAGGATGAGGTTCAGCAAAGCATCTACCTACTCATAGGCTTCTCAATCACCTGTGTCAAGAAGCTGTTATCAGTACCTTCCAGAAGCCTGCTGGACTGCCCTGCTGCATGGCCTTTTCAGAAGATATCATGGTAGCTCGAGTCCACCATGAGGTCTAGGGCTTGCAAACATGACTCTTCTGCCACTTGTTTGAAGAATATCTAATTTACATTTTTCTTTGACCTGTGAATGCAACGTGTTCTGTGAAAATTAATACAAAAGCCCAGCAAAGATGGAAATGCATTTACAGATCCATAGCAAGTCTACAGCAAAGTGCATTACTTATTAAAAAATTGCAATCAGGAGGAGATGAAATGAAGATACAAATTGAAGGACCCTTTTCTCTGAAGATGGGGTCATAAAAGACTTTCTTATTAAAAACCAGACAGGATATAGCTATTAAAAAACAAGTCTGTGAGCTCTACTGGAATGGATTTGACACTATTGAAGTCAAGATATATACAGATACGCATATATCAAGCAACAAAAAGAAACAGTTACACAGAACCCTAGAGAAAGGCCAAGAAGATATATCAATAAGCACCTGTAAGCAAAACTGGGAAGTAAATGCAACACGCATGTATTTTGTAAAGGGTGGAAAGCAGGAAGCAATGCCAGTAATACAGCAACTAGCACAACTACAGGAAATACCCTGTTCAGGCAACTGCACAGGTAAATGAAAAAAGGCTGCATTGCCGTGCAACGTTTGGGCTGAAGTGTACTAAAAAGCCAGTGAGATGTGTACTTTAAACACAGAAAGGGATTTTTAAGGACCATTCTTAAGAGATATTATTAATTAAATAGTACTCCAATAACACACATAAAACAAACAAGGTGAACACAGAGGGACGAGTAAAGGTAAAGAAAGCAACCAAATTAAGTACGTTTCGCTAAAGAATACCCTACACAGAGTTCAGAATACGAATATGACCAAACACTGTATATCAGTAAAATCACAGCAGTTCAAAAAAAACGTGGAGCCTGTCCCACCTACTGTAGAAAACCAGGAGACATCATTCAGAGGGGAGCCAAATTGACAGCTCTGATTTTTCCTTGGTTAAGCAATGTTATATCAAAATGTAAAAAAAAACCTTTTTCATATTACCTAGAGAAGCTGCTGAATCTTCCTCACACGGGAGTTTTAGGAAACAGGCTAGACAAAGGTCATACGTAGATAGCCTGGTTTTACCTACACAACTCCATCAAAAAGAGGTGGCCCTCTAGCATATTTACCTTGCACAGTAAACTTCCATTGCAGTAGACACCAATTTCTTCACCTTGGAAGAATCCTAGGCTACAGCACAAGACAAACAAAAGAAGAACTTTTTGGCATCATCAGCAAACACCAACTTTTGACCTGTTGAAAGACATTAAACTCTCTTCACAGAAGCAGCGGGAAGGGCTGAGAACAGTCATGCCACAAAATCACAGAGCAGGTTGTTTATTAGTCTCTTATGCACCCACGAGTTTGAGAGCTGCTTGAAGATGTGTACACAAACTGAAATAGATAGTATGTTTGTTATATTGACCTAAGCAAGGATCTATGAATAACATTTCCAGGTTTCCTATGGAGCTGCAGTTTCAAAGCAGAAACCAATCAATGGGTACTGGCTGCAAGACCCAGAAGAGAAACTAACAGACATCACCAAAGAGGATTTTGCAAATATAGAAATACTTCATCAGAACTGAGGTTCAGCTTGGGTGCTATTAGTAACAGCACAAACACTTCTGAAAGCAGCTAATGATCTGAAACAAGCAGTAAACCATCATGCAAACGTGATAAAAAGCTTTGCACTGAATCTGCAAGTCTGCAAAATGAACCAGATACAAATCACTCAAGAAGAAACATTGCAAATAGTAGGGAATCAGTCTGTATGCATATTTCTGCTATCAAAACACCAACACTGGGGTGCTTTTCAGGGCTGAACAAAACAGCTCCTACAGTGATGGAATACCAGAATGAATACCAGAATCAGAAAATCCCAATAAAAGTAAGATAGTTCTCATTTGCCCACAAATAAATGGAGGCATTAAAGAAACACTGATATGCAAAATCAATCAAGAGATGCTGAAAAAGAAAAAAAGTATTTAAAAAAAAGAAAAAGTGTTTCCACACAGTTACAGAAAAAAATAAAAAAGGCAAGAACTTGGCAAAATGGACAGTGCTAAGCCAAGCTATAATGTTCCAGAAAGAATCATTTCAATCACAGTCACTAATGAAAGATGAAAGATGAAGACAAGACTCTTAAGAGAATCAGGCTTTTGAGAATCCTGAGAATTTGACAAAATCAAGTGAAAGGGGTAGGCACCTGAAAACACCTGCATTAACAGCTCAGCAGCATGTTGCCCCAGAGAACTGCAAAACTGGCTTAGAAAGACTGTGCCCCCTCCTAAGACACTGAGACACATTAAAGATCATGAAAGCAAATTAAAGGCTCTTTACTGTGAGGATGGTGAGGCACTGGCACAGGTTGTCCAGAGAAGCTGCGGCTGCCCCATCCCTGGCAGTGTTCAAGGTAAGGTTGGAACCGGCTTGGAGCAATCTTGTCTAGAGGAGGGTGTCCCTGCCCATGGCAGGGGTGTTGGAACTGAGTGATCTTTAAAGTCCCTTTCAGCCCAAACCATTCTGCAATTCTACAATGTCTATGAAATGTCCTTCCTTTAAATAAAATTGTCTTTGATGGTCAAAGGGTACAGTCAAGCAGCATTTTTTTTCTGTCACTTTGAGCATTACACAAGAACCATGCTTGCTAAAGAGTTCAAAAATGTTGAAGAATGGTGATTAAAGAGCTATTTTGTAGTGAACTCTGCACAAGCTGTTCCTGTAGTCCAATTCATTCTCTTCAGTACTCTGTAACAAGAATGAGTTAAGTTTACATCATTCATTATTACTGCTGCAATCATAGTCTTGAGACAAGATTCATATTAATCATTTCTGCTTTTGTTGCATCATTTGTCAAGAAAATGAAGAATAAGAATTTCAGCACCTAATATGCGCTGTGAGTTATAGGTCAGTGGCAGGATTATACCTTAGCTTTTCTGATAGTTGTTAGCTCTCCATCCTACCTTTCTCTGCATATATCTGCTTGAGAACTGACTTAAAACCAACCCTCACTTAACTTTTCTGGAGAAATCCTTCACTTCTGGATCTGGCCAAGCTGTGACACCTCATAAACATCCAAAAGAGGGTAGTAAATCTATTAATAAAACATTCCTCAGCCATAAATCTGTTACCAGGTCAATCCATTTTGAGGAGCTTGCTTCCAGCTTCCCTCTGAGAGCCTTAGCATGAATATAGTTCTTTTGCAGTGTTACAAGGTCACAGGGCATCAGCACCCTTTGGTTTTTGTGTGTGAATCAGGTAGTGGCAGGAGGGAGGCATGTATAAAGACACGAGTGCATACACATAAATTTATATGAGTGTGTACATTGATTCTTCACATAAAAATGTCTGAGGTATTTGGTGCTTTCATTACCCTAGTCTTTACTGGGAAGGTGTTCTCTCAGTCCTTCTACATCCCTGTGCTTAGGGCAGATGAAGGGCAGTGAAGTACTACTTGCGGCAGATCATCATCAAGTTAGGGCCTACATAAGCATGTACCAAGGGATATGAGACCAGGCAGGATGCATTCATGGCAATTGGCTGATGTCATTAAGAATCTACTAAGTCTTTGAAAGGTCACAGTGACAGGGGAGGCTTCTGACGACTTGAAAAAGTCAAGTATCCTGCGCATCTCCAAGGACAGCAAAAAAGAGAAGCTTGAGAAATGACAATTCAGCCTCACCCCAGTCCTGAGAAGGTTATGGAGCATATCCTTCCTGAAGGAAGTTCCAGGTACGTGAACAGGCAGGCATTTGGGATCAGCTAGCACAGATTTGCCAGGAGAAATCATACCTGACAAACCTGATTGCATTCTACAGCAAGAGGACAAGAAAAGAGCAACGGATGTGGATCTAGCAAAAATTTTGGCAGTGTCCCATGATACCCTTATAGCCATGTTGGTGGCGGATGGGTTCTGAGAAAGGTGAGCGGATGACTGTCTGAACTGTTAGGCAGATGTAATATTAATAAGAGGATAAATGTACAACCGGAGGCCAGTTGCTGGTGCTATTACTCAATCACTGACACTAGGGCCAACAGTGTTTAACAGTTACATTAACAACTTGGGCAAAAGCATGGACTCCAATCAGCAGTTTCACACAGATGATACCAAACAGGAGAGAAGTCAACACATTGGAGGGCTACCATTTATCATTTGGGGGTACTTAACAGACAGGAGAAACAAGCTGGCAGGAATTTCCCAGAGTTCAGCAAATGCAAAGCCCTATACATGGGAAGAAATAACCTGCATGGTGACAGGTGAGAGAAAATCAGCTGGAAAGCAGCTCCACAGATAAGGACCCATAGGTCCTGGTGGACAAATTGAGCACGAGTGAGCAGTACACCTGCACAGCAAATAAAAGCAACCAAATACTGGGCAAAGCACAGGCAGCAAGTCAAGGGAAGTGATTTTTTTCCTCTTTATTTGGCACTTGTAAGGCAGCATATGGAGTACAGCATCTCACTTGGGGCTCCCAGATACAAGAGGGACACAGACATACCAGAGTACAGCAGATGGCCACCACAACGCTCCAGGGCCTAAAGCACATAAAGTACTATGAGAGGCTGAAAAAGCTGGGCTGGTTCAGCCTGGAAAAGAGGGAGTATCTAAGGGAGGATGTTATCACCATCTTTAACTACCTAATGGGTGAGTTATAAAGAGAAGACACACCAAAATTTTTCTTCAAATGAACAGCAATATGACAAGGGATAATAGATTCCAGTTACCACAAGGAAAATTCCTATTAGATATAAGTAAAAGCTTATCGCCATAAGGGTAGTCAAAGCCTGGAATCAGTGTCCTCAGAGACTGAGGAATCTCCATCCTTAGAAATATTCAGAACCCAACTGGAAAAACCACTGAGCAACATGACCTGGCACTGAAGTTAGCCCTGCTTTAAGCAGAAGACCAGAGAGGCCTCTTCCAACCTAATTTGCTCTATGAGTTTGCGATATAAGATAAAGTTCAACATCATCCCTTACTCTGCCTTTTTCTTCAGCCTTACAAAGTTATTTGTGTTGCTCTCTCAAACACTCAAATGGCCCCTCCTCAGGGAGCCTTCTTCCACATCTTTAAACCTTT